TTTATTTTTTTTCCTCTACTTGTCTGCGCCTCACAGATTGAGAACCATCTATCCATTTCCTCCCAGTTATCCAAATAGGAGTCACAGAGAGGGCTGGAGCCTACTCCAGCTGTCACGGGACGAGAGGCGAGGTAGACCCTGGTCAGGTGATCAATCTGTCACAGAGCTAACACTTAGAGACGAGTCAATTTAGAATCACCAATGAACCGAAGCCCATGTAAAAAACACTCTGAGAGAACATTTACATTCTACAACGAAAGATTTGAACCCAGCACCGTCTTGCTGCGAGGCGACAGCCAGCGCTAATCGCCTCAGTTTTAGAGCCACTGTTGAAAATGACAGACAGAAGCCTCAAATGTTTGGATCACCTTTTTTATTCAAAATGTACATCAATGGAATCAAACTAAAGTAAGATCCAGAATCATTTGAGGTGTGGGAGAGGTTCTGACTACAAGAGGTGATGACTGATACTAGAAAAAATGTATGGCAATTCCTGACACCAAAATGTTACACTCAGAGTCACGTCCAAAGGTCATAGGTAATAAACAACAAGTCTCCACTTCGATACACAAAATATATCCTTATAAATTATATAAATGCACGAGTATTTTTTAATACTCCTATCTGGGGTTTCAATTCAACTCCGTCTTATACTAACATTTGGCAAAGTGGGAGCTGAAATCATAGGACAGAGCAAATGTACATGAATTATATGCACCGATTTGAAGAAAACAGCAATGGAGGAAAACAGATAGCAAAACTTTGTTATTTAAGGGTTAAAAACAAGCAGGTCAAAGATCACTGCAGTAATGAAAACGAGAGAGAGAGAGATGCATGCAAAATATAGAGTAGGCAAGTGAATATTAAAGCACAATGTGTAATAAAAGGCCATGACATGTGACCTCCATGGTATTCGGCAGTGACGTGTAAACATGGGCACCATAAACATCGCTTTGGCTCTTGCATGATTATGACTCTTAATTTAGATGTGCAGAAAACAAGGGAAGAGGACATCCTCATTGTACTGTATCACTTTAACACATTACACATAGTTTATTATGTGCTTCTGTTCTTTTGTTTAAAAGCAAGTCTCGATGATTCACTGTCATTTTATCCTAATGCCTCTGGGTTGAGAATTCTCTTGAACAGATGAGTGCATAGTGCAGGTCACAGCAATTTTATTTCAACTAAAGGTCAAATAATGACTTCCTCTGTGAGTCCCACCCAACGACTTCTATGAACTACAAGAGTCTCTCTATACATTAAGACATGATAGCAGATTTAAATTGTGCCCGGTTCCTGACCTGCCCAGCTTTTAACCATCCTCAGGTGGTCAGAAATACCATGCGAGTCCACATTAAGGCCATATTCAACCAAGGGAGATGCAATGGGGGAGAGTAAAAGGTTCATACAGCGAGAAAAGCAGGAAGAGGTAAAGGGTGCTTAGTTCTTGCTGAAGCTGCAATCCCCTCTTCAGGTGGTCAAGACAGATTAAAAGAAGCTAAAGAGACAAAGAGAAAAGAGCAGGCAGTTAGAGGGAGGAAGCCGAAGCAGAAACGCTTACAAATAAAAGATTCAGAAGTGCGATTCATATCAAGGAGAGAAAAACTTTCGGTTTTGAATTAAATCTTAGTGATCATAGTCATTCAAACAATACACTATAGACATAAAACACCCGATTATATTGTGTCCACGCCATGATTTT